CCCAGCGCTGCTGCTGAGCCAGGGCTCTGGGTGCTGCTGGCGCCCGCCAGCGGGCCTCCGGTGGTTGCCTGTGCGGCTGGCGTTCTGGACCCCAAAGGCGGAGGCGCCGAGCGCACGGACCTGCGGAGGCAGGGTGCAGTTAAGCCCAGGAATGGACAGCAGGCGGTGGCCTCTGGGGGCAGCCTGAGCTCGGCCCAGGTGGGTGCAGGGACCCTGTTCAGCCGTGCGGGGCAGAGGGACGAGGGATGGGAGCTTTGAAAGTGTCCAGTTAGGAGCCCAAGGCCTGAGAGCACAGCGGACCAGGCCACCTTGGAACCCGCCTGGACCATGCTGGTCTCTCCATCCTGGGAGCCTGACCGTTGATGGATGATGAGATATGTGCCCCCTCCACCTGGTGTAGCTTACAGGCAATAGAAGGGACTCTGACAGGTAATTGTCACTTTCTCTGCAGGAGATCAGTTCTGCCACAGTCACGGTGAACCCCAGCCAGGGCTGGAGGAGGACCCGCCCTGAAGCAGACTCTTACCTCTCACCAAAAGGCACCTCATACAATCCCAGTACAGGATGGCTTTTACTTCCTGTCTCAGAAAGGGGCCAAACAATAAAATACTGAAAGACAGTCAACTCCATTGTAATCGGAGAAACACAAATGAGCGTAAACTGCCATTTTCCCACCTATCAAGGTGGGAAACGTTTGCAGAGATGTTCCGCATCAGGAGCTGTGCCGGGAACTCTTCACAGGCTGCGGGTGGCAGTGAATGGCACACTGCTTCTGGAAAGCATCAGTTTGTTAGCATCTATCAAATTAACATCTACAGAGAAGCTTTTTATTCCGTGTATTTCAGCATTGCTTATGTTTTCACACCAAGTATGTATTAACTGAGGAATTTAAAAATACACTTTATAAAAAGAATCCAGAACTGTAGGCATCTATAAACATTCTCTTACACTTTGTAACTTTACGACGCTGAAAAAAAAATATCAAATGTCCCTTCTGGGTTTTTCCAGAAGTGATTAGCAGCAAAACTTGAAACAGAAGAGGCTCTGAGTTTGTCTTTGGGAGAGGCCTGCAGGAGCCCCAAGGACAGACGCAGTGGTTACGGGGCTAGGGTTAGGGCCTGGGAGGGGCCAAGGAGCTGAGTGGGATAAATCAAATTTTAAATGTCACCTGGAAAGCAAGACTGTGGCAAGAAGCCCAGGAGTCCCCACCTTCCATTCTCAGTGAGTCACAAGGCTCATAAGATAAACACAGACACTCACCAGGACCCCAAATATCTCTCGACACACTGGGCACAAAGATTACAAACGTATGTAAAACCACAGAACACCCAACCCGGTGAAATTAAAGCCCTCCTTCTTCATGGGAATGTAGAAGAATGTTTAAAATGTATGTATACACACCTTTTCAAAGCAGGTCAAATACGCTTGGCCTTCTGGGCTGGGGAGGCTTCGGGAATGGAAATCCTGAGTGTCCACATGGCAATGGCTGTGGCAGGTACTACCAACACAGGATGAACCTGTACCCCAGGGCCCACAGGCTACTGTCAAAATAAACCCACTGCAAGAAAAAACATTGATACAAGTCAAAAACCATGAAGTAGAGGTTACAAAACAAAGCCAGGATCCAAACACAGGCCCTTCCAGATCACTGCAAACAAAGCGTGGAAACCCAACTCAGAACACTTCAATAAATAACACGGATCCCTTGATTCTCCCAAAGAGAGCGGGGTGGGGGTGGGGGGGCTGTGCCCAGACCACTGGCTGCCTTTCGAAACATCTGCATATCCGCATTCCTGTGCTTTGAACATTTTCTTTGCAAGTTAAACTGTAACCCCTTGCACATCCAGGCCATCTTATCTGGAATAAGAAGGCCAGGCTGACTAAATAAAAAAATAAATTCCAGAATACTTAAACAACATTTTGCATTATTTCTAGAAGACAGCAGGGAAGGCCAGCAACCCAAAGCACAGTACCTATGGCAAGGGGAGGGGGCAGGTGAGCTTCAGGCATTCTGGAATTCTGAGGGCTTCTCAGGAGTTCTAGGAATGTGACCTTAGTCATACACTCATTTATGAGTTTTATAAAATTAACTAATGCTATCGTTAAAGTTCATAAGAGGTGCACCTTTCACAACCCAGTGTCACCAAAATACAACCCCTACACTTAAGAGCCCGTCTCTGGATCTAGAAGGACGTGGTTAAGGAAACTTCCGTGTACTGAGCCCTCCTTGGAGGAAGCCACTAACATTAGCCTGAATGGCCTTTACTGGCTGAGAGTGCTGACAATTTGCTGGTGTAGGGTCTCTGTTAACAAAGATCAAGTGTGCCATCTCTGTCTGAAGGCTCAACTTAGTGAGATTTTGCTATGGCAAAGTTAGTTTTAAAGGGCACCACATAGAATTTTCTAGCAACCAGGGCTATCTGAGCTGCTTCAGAGGACAGTTCCTCATCCCGGGGGGCTAGCACAGAGGCTGATCTGAACAGGGAAGGCAGCTGGACTTGAAATCGTGTTATTCCAGAGGGGTGGGCCAAGAGGCCAGCCGTATCCATGTGCTGCTGGTTACGCCTGCCACAGCAAAGACCTACACAGAAATTGCCACGCTCCTGCCATCAGTCTTTATCGAAATTGAGGGAGGGATGTTGGTAACATGTGGAGACCGAGGCAATCTGTAAACTTTAAGATCAACGTGGCCTTGAAGATCTACTTCACAGCCTGATGTGTCACAGTGGTCTCTGTCTGTGCCACGCTTAACTGTGGGTGTATATCAAAATAAAAATGACACTCCATGGCCTTCACAGCTCTCAAACCCTCTCAGATACCTTCTGTACCTGGCGTGGTGCCGAGAGGAGCACGTGCACCACATAGTCACAGACCGACCAGCTGACCCCATTTAACAGTGTTGGCAGAAGCGAAACTGAGCTCTACAGCCGCTACTGAGTCTTGCTACATCCCAGGCACCCATTTTATTTTATACACATTATCTCATTTAATGGAAAGAACACAGAATTTGGAGCACACTGACCTGGATTACAATTTTAGCTCTACTTAAAAAAAAAAAAACCTGAAAGGATTCGCACCAAACTTCAGTACTGGTTACCTGCAGGAAGTAACAGGGTGGGAAAACTCCGCTTCGGTTTATGCAGTTATATATATGAATGTTGACACACATAGACATCATATTATGGACAAGTCATGTATGTCATATGTCTAGTGTGTATGCAGGGTGTTCAAAAAGTATTTGATGTTTTGAATTTTTAAGAAATTTGCTACTCTATAAAATATAAACCATTTATACATTGCAACAGGGAATTTGCAACAATTACACAATGTGATTTAATTTACATTTAAATTAAATGATTTGTTCTAATTTATTTATCTTATTTTTCATGTTAAAACCCTACAATGATCTCAGTGACTACATCCAAATGCATACATAATGATGGTTGAATATACAAAAGCTCACGTTCTGGCAGTTAAACATAAGGTACAGCATAAATGTTACTAACAGTCACATGCCTGTTTATGGGAAACTTGTTTTCTGTTTTTGTACTTTTCTGTATTTTTCAAATTAAAAAGATCCTTGGAAAATATAAATAGTTCTGCTCTTTGACTTACTGACTGTGGGGAGTCCTTAAACGTGCTGAGCCAGGACTCTCCGGGCAGTGGTAGTGGGAGCACCTCCCAGGGGAGATGAGGATGATTCCACTCACTGGAGGAGAGGATCACACGTCCCAAATAAGCCATCACTCTCCCATCACAGGAATTAGGTTTTGCGGTCCTGCAGGGGAGGAAAAACTTCCCTGCACCCTCTTAGGCTCTGTGACTGGGTCTGAGAATTAAACTGACATGAGACAGATTAACAGGGAAAAAGCCTACAGATTTTATTTAAAATTTTATGTGCACAGGGGAGTCTTTGTAAGAAAAATGAAGACCTGAAGAAGCAGTAGGGATCCAGAGCTTGCACAATTTTTTAAAAAAACAGAGTGGGGCTGGGCAAGAGGAAGGGCACATGGTCGCCCCTTCTTCTCAGCTCCCACTGTCCTCCTCAGCCCCCTTCAGATGGGCAGGTTGGGTCCCAGCCTGGCCTCCACATGCAAGTACTGCTCCCAGCTCACATGCTCATCTGTGATGTCCAGGCTGGGTCCCTGGGATGTCCATGGAGGGTGCAGGACACCCCTCAACATCCCATGTTGGCATCTGGTCACTCTGGGCGAAGGCACCTGAGGAGCAGCCAGTGCAGGATGGGCTCTCTGACCGCCTCTTTCTGCCTGAAGCACGGCGTGAACTTCCCACGAGGAAGGTGCCCTCCCTGCACCAGGAAGGGCAGAGCGTTCTTATCCCCAGAGACGGGGGTCGATGCGACAGGGATCTGGGCAAACCACTGACGTGACCCCGACCTCCCAGCCATTTCCTGTCTGTTTCCCAGGCTCTGTCCCACAGTTCACCGCATCCTTCCTCTTGCCCAGCCCCACTTCGTTTTGTTTAAAACCCGTGCAAGTCCAGGTCTGACCCCCGGGACTCCTCTCAGATAGGTCCTACAGCCCGGCCCACCCAGGCCCAAGACCGAACACTTGTGACGCACAACACCCACTTCAGTGTCTCAATGAGAAGGACGCTGTCTTGAGGGTTGGGGCTTAGGGAGACCCTTCCCTTAACAACAGGTGTGAAAGTGACAGGGTCCCCTAAAGAGGCTGTGGGCCCCCGTTCTGCCCCATGGTGACAGGGAGAGAGGGCAAGTTGGGACCTAACACCCACATCCTTCTCCAGAAGTCTCGCTGCAGGGACCAGGCTGACCTACACACAGGAGGAGGTTCTTCCCCGAGCACCACTCGCGGAGGCCCTAGACGGGCACACCCGCAGAGTGAGTGTGATGCAGACATTGTCGTTCAGTTCATAGGAAGATTTTTCCAAAAAAATTAAGAGAAAATTAAAACAAGTGTCTTTATTCTAAAAACTATATATGTTTATTTTTAAAAAGAATCTAAACAACACTGGGAAAAAACCAAACTAAAGTAAAATTAATGTTGAGTCTCACCACTTCCTGTGTGTAGGCCCCCAAAGATGCCCACACCCTGATCTCCAGAACCTACCAATACGTTCGGTCAAAGGAGAATTCAGGTGGCAGATGAGTTTGCGTTTGTTAACAGCTGACCTTAAAAGGCACAGATCACCTGGAGGACCTGGGTGGGCCCAGTGTGATCACAAGGCTCCTTAAACCACAGAGAGGGCCACCCAAGAAGGACTCAGCCCCACCACTGAGCACGGGTGGGCTGGAGCCCTTGGGCAGCGGCCTCCGGAAGCTGGAAAAGGCATGGACAGGCTCCCCTGACCTCCTGAGGGAGCACAGCCTGGCCAACACCTGGATGTCTGGCCAGCGAGAACCCCCTCCAGATCTCCGACTTCCAGGAATGTAAGATGGCTCGTGTCTTCGTAAACCATGGTCCGCAGTTACTTGTCAGAGGCAATAGGGGACTAACGCTCAGGCAACTACTGCATTTGGGGAACCTCACTCCAAATCCCTGTTTAAATGTGTAAGAATTTTCCTGGTCACTCTTTTCTCTGTCTTTTTAAGAAATTATTCTCTCAATTCAAATTTTTCATCCCGACTTTTTTCGTCAAATGTCATGTAGTTAGAACTTTCCAATGACATTGACAATTCTCAAGAATATAAATCTGTATTTATCTAGGAATGTTCCCAGCCAAATCTCTAAACACCATAAAAATCTCTAGTGAGGGTCCCACAGGGTCAGGCTGCCCATGGACCAGGAGCAGCTCCGCTGGAGAGGTCCAGTCGGCCCTGGTGGCTTCCGGCCAGAAGTACGGCACCTCTTTCCGGACGTGCTGAAGAAGAGCATCGGGGACAAGCGGTCGGTGGTGGTCTCCACACCTGCTCCACTGTTCAGGCTCCACCGTCAGCCCCGCAGAGACAGTGAGGGACTCGGAGGCGCAGCTGGCCTCCTCCAGCCAGCCTCCATCCCGTCCTTCTTTCATTCATTCAACAAACATGTCCTGGGCAAGTACTAGATGCTGAGAAATGAGGAAAAGATTCCGTTCTGCACAGTGTTTCCCTGTTTTCATAAGAATGAAATAAACATGTGAGTCATGAGAAATCAGGGAGAGGTAAGTTCTTCTCTGTGCTGGGAGAACCTGACCACCGCCCTCGCCACAGGCGGTGGTCCCAAGACTGTCCAGCGGGACCGAGACCCCCCCAGGGGGTGGCGCACACTGTCTGACTCATATGTGTGCTTAGAACTGAGTTCAGAACCGTCACAGAACAGGTACTTAGAAACTATTAGTTGACTGAATAAATTTAAGTGAATCAACTCACAAAGCAATTCTACCCCTCACGTCTCTACATCTTTCTGAAGGGTCCTGTTCATTAAAAAAGAGATTCTCCTGCAAAATCCAGGGTGTGGAACTCATTGAGGACGTGGCACTCATGGGTGTGACGCAGAACTCTCTTATGGAAGGAATGCCCGGCTGACACAGACAGACAGTAATTATACTGATAAGAAGGGCTTTAGAAAAGACAGGTCTTAAAGACGTGTATTCATGCTG